ATTAATTTACAAAAATATTCTTATGAATAATTGACAAAATATGAATTGAGCATAGTCTATTTTGTGTAATATATAACCATTGATATTTTAAGTTTTATTAATGTCTTGATAGTAAAAAATAAAAACACTTATCGGTATTAAATTATTTTATAAATGTTGTTAATATATCAAGAATGAAGTACTTATGATTAAATAATAAATATAAATTAATAATAATGTATAATATTTTTAAAATTCAAACCTTTTGTGAGTGAATTGTTTCATTAACAGCTATGCATATTTGATCTATTTGATTTTTATCTATAAAATCCAGTATAACTCCATGATTTATTCGATGTTTGACGCTTTCTGTTAGAGGTCCTTTAAAGAATACCTCTACAATGTATAATGCTCCGTTGAAAAAAAAGCTTGGTATATATCTTGGTAATTCTGACACACTTACTTCCATTGTGCCGATAGTGTTTAAATTGATATTGTATGATACCTGACAGTTAATCGGTCTCACAGCCATTTTTACATCAAATTTATTGTTTAACATTGTAGCCCATAAGTGACACCTAATTCCAAAACAAGTTGAATTATCCCAAATCACATCTAGGTGTTTGACGATGAAAGTCATTTCTATCCAGGTTTCAAGTTTTCCAGGGTATACATTTACATTACCAGTTCGTTGAATATTTGATATTTTATCAATACGACCACCTGATCCAACAAATAATCCGACTGAAAAATCATGTATTCCAGTTTGTAATAATGACTTGTAACGATTTTCTTGCCTGTTATCACTCAATAAGACATCAAAAAATGCATTTAAATTGTTTTTTACGTATGCTGTAATAGGTAGTAGTAATATATTGGTAAATAATATAAAAGCACATATTCTAATATTCATTTTTAATTTTTAGTGTTCTTGAACGTTTAATACTCTATATCCATTCAAATGAATTTTAGCTTCAAGTAAATGAGACAGGAAATATTGTATTAAATTCTTCTCTTGTAAAGTTATTAAATAGATATAACTGTCATACTGAATAAAGTAGTTCTGTCCCCTCCAATATATGTATATATATATAAATTATAATTTGTTATATATCAACTACCTACCTCTTTTTAGTTTATAAAAATATATTCTTGTGTTAAAATCATAACTATTTTAATTTAATACATAGTGTATTTTAGAGTATATTAACTAATTATTAATGTATAAAATATAAAATACCTATCTATAAAATTTTCAATAATATTATAAATAAATGTATTATAAACAATTATAAATTAACTTGTTTTCATGTATAAACAAACTTGGTTTTACATAATACTTATATTTCAACTTAACTATATAGAGATAAGTTTATTGCGAGGTTTATTGTTATTTGATATCAAATGATTCATCTTTGTATGATTATTTACAACTTTATGTTATTTAATTGAAATTATTTATTTATATTAAAAATTTAACCTCGTGTTGGATTAGAATTTTACTATTAATAGACATTGGAGAAATTAAATATTAATAAAATAAATGGGGAAATAAATGTAATTTAAATGAATTATTAATTACATTTGCATTAATATTTTCACTATGTTATTTCTATGTTATATTTATTGTATGTTACTCATTATACTAAAAGTCCTACCCTACAAGTGGATAATATGTATAATTATCTACTTATAACTTGAATTGAGATGTTGTTTGTGTTTATCAATAAAATTATGCTAGTTTATTATATTCAGTTAAAATTATCATTTGCTATAGTTTATCTTATCTAATTATTCTTAAAAGTAGCTTAATTAAATGTACTTATAAATATGGTAAGAATTTAGTCCAGCTTTTACACCAGTTATAAGTAATTTGTATATTTATTTATTTATTTATTTATTTATTGCAAAGAAAATATTATAACAATTCAAAAACTAAACCTAATAAAAACATTTTGAAAGTCAAATATATTAATATTACTACTTATAAGATAATAATAAACAAGGATGTATGTGATTTGATAACTATATACCTATCTGTTATAAATGAAACTTCTCTAAAGAAGTGCAAAGAAAAATAAATGGTGTTTTAAATATCATAATGGTTTAAATGGAAATAATATATACATAAATAAAAAGAAAGTGAATATGAGTGTATACTTTATGCTAATGTTAATACTTAATGCAATGCATTATGAACCGTTAGTTATATGATTTAGTTCAATAATTTGTTTTTGAACTTTATTTGCAATAAACGTTAAATTATTTTATGTTCAATAAACATTTATAGGTATAAAGTTATAAAAATAAATGGTTCTTTGAACATTTTACTAGAAAAACTTAAAAAATATTTATGTTTTTTGATAATTTCCAAGATAATTTCACTAAAACATCATTTAAAAATATTAAGTTCTTGAATAATATATCTATTTAACATTAAAAAGTTATATAGGTATTCTTGGACATAAAATCAGAACATTTTTAAATAATTTGTTCTTTGACATTTTATTAGAAGAACAATAAAGACAATCTCTGTATTGTTGTTGAATTTTTATTTGAATATTTGTAAGACGGAAAGAATGGATAAAGCTGAGGCATCCTTTTAAGCTTAACGTTCTTTGGATATTTTGAATATTATATTATTATACCTTATCGGCTTATTATCATTATGCGATTAATTTACTTTTATTAAGCTTTATTGGAATTTTAAAAATCTAAATCTTTGATTGTTTTTGCTATAAAATAATAAAAATGAATGATATTGTGTGTTTATTCTACAATCAACAAATGTTATTCACTTTATCAGTGGTTCCTAAACTATGAGACATATATCCCAAAGGAGGTGCAAACAATTATCAGGGGAAGGGAAAGGCAAATATTTATACTGTATATTGCTTTATCATATACTTAATATTCAATAAACAATAATTTGCTTATATTAAAAAAAATAAAAATTTTTACTGGGAGGTTCAATAAAATTTTGTTTTGTTTTGGAGATGGAAAAATCTTTGGTCAAACAAGAATGTTTGGGAACCGCTGCTCTTTATAATACATATTATATTAAACTTGCTATATGTATAGTATAGTATAGTATAATATAGTATATAAACAATATTAGAACAATTAATTTCCACAGGGTGATGGAGTAAATAAGGCAATTGCTCTCCCTATGGCCATTTTTTATTAAAATTGTTGTTATTTATTATTCATATCACACTAAGAAAATACATCATAAAAGTACACTGTAAAATCTGAGATAAAATCTTTAATTATGCATATATTGAATGTCCTATTTGACATTATACACCTCCAGTAAAACCAGATAAAGTACCTAATATAATAATTTATGAAGTTCTCCCCACCACTCATATAAAAGAGTTGTTACTTATTAAAACGGGATTTATATTTTATGATTCATACATACTTTTTTACATTTTGGAATCTAGCAAACAACTAAATGTCGTTTATACATGAGTTTATACATGAAACTATGATAATGACATTGTGACAGTGAATTTGTGATTCAATTAATATGTATTTTAATTTATTAAAAATTTTATACTTAACTAATAATTATGCCAAAAATTATGTATTTTGATAATCCAGTGAGACGGTACTTCAAATATCATTCAGAAGGTGAAAATGTTAAATCCACTTACAAAATTCAGAATTGTAAAAACTATTAGTAGTAAATTTCAATACAATAACACATTAATAAGTTTCACATATTATATATAAAAACTAGTAAAATTCCAAGACTAAGTCCACTTAAGTTAATTATCGATTTATTTATTTTTTTTTTTTAATTTAAATTATGATTTTAAAGATAATTTAGCAAAAAAAAGAAAAAGAAATTGGTTGAAAACAATAGTTTTTGAGTTATATTTTCACATTTTTGGTTTTCCCTTGTTCAATGTCAAATTTATTGCATAGTTATGAACATTTTATTAAACATTAATTTTGTCATAGTCTTTAGAAATAAAATATGTTAATACTTATCTATTTTGTTACTTTTCTTAATATAATTAAGTTGTAAATTTTGTTAATTTGCAAGTATGTTTATTATTTAAGATAAAGTTTGTAAAGAATTTTAATTTTTGTTTTACATTAATTTCATCAGTGAGTTTAAATTATTCTGCTGTTAGAGGGTTTACTAAAAATCCATTGTTAATTGAGTAGTTAAATTATTTAAGAGTAATTAGTATTAATTTTAAAATATTTTTTTATTTTGCTTAGAACATCTGGAGATTCTCTTTATGTTACACTGAGCTTAGGAAAGACAGCAGAAACTGAAGAAATTAAAAGAACTTATAGAAAACTTGCATTGAAATACCATCCAGACAAAAATACTGGTAATCCAGAAGCTGAAGAAAAGGTTTTAAAATTTAATATTTTATTGTTGTGTCATATTTTAGTTAATTTATTAATATTTATAGTTCAAAGAAATTAATAAAGCATACAGAATTTTGACGGATCCAAGCAAACGTAACATATATGACAACTATGGTTCCCTAGGCTTGTATATTGCTGAGCAATTTGGCGAGGAAAATGTCAATACTTACTTCTTTGTCACCTCAAAATGGTGCAAGGTGTGTTTTAAATTTGATGTTTCAACCCTTTTTTCAGATTTTTATTTTAAAAAATTTGAGCACTTGTCAATTATTATTTTCAGGCTTTGATAATTGGATCTTGTTTAATAACTGGTTGCTGCTGTTGCTTCTGTTGTTGCTGTTGTTGCAATTTCTGTTTTGGCAAGTACAAGCCAAATGTACCTGAAGATCAACAAGCAAATTATACAAATTTACATGTAAGTAATTTGTTAACTTTTTATTTAAATATTTGCATGTGGTCAATTTTTGATTTCTTAACAACAAACACAGGTTTGTTTTGTTTGTCTAATGGTATAGGCATGTTGAATTATAAGAACTAATATAATTTTGAGTCAAATAATTTTAATTTTTTTCAATCTCTGCAATTATTTCTTAATAATCATTAATATTTATAAGGTAAATATTTATTTTTATTTTTTTTTATTATTTTTATCTGCTATAAAATATAGAATAAAGTATGTGGTTGCTGAAAAAAGTATTGACACAATTTTTTTTTAATATTATACTTATCAATGATAACTTTGCTAATAATGTGTTATTTAATAATCTTATGTTCTAGTTTTCCATAGCTTGTTGTCATATACTGTTTTAATTTTTTTAATTTACAAAGTATTTACAGTATATATTAAATGTTTTGAGCTTTATTAATCGATAGAATACTGAACTAATTTATAATACATTAATGCATAGTACAGTTGAATATTTTATTTTTGATTGTACTATGGATAAATTAATTGCCTAATGTATACAAATTGTGGTTTAATACTTATTTCGGTAGCCTTACAAACAGTTAAAGAAATATATCATTAATTATTATTGGTAAGTAATATTATGTTTTTAAATAATATTAGGTATATTAATTTATTAAAACATTATTTTATCATCATATTAGATTTGTTTCATATCTGAATTAATATATTATATGGTAGAATTAACTTTCTAAATATCTTGTCATTAATATGTATATATTAATCATTACACATCCTAATAATTAATATAATTTATAATATCTAGATAGTAAAATGCTTATGAAAAGTTATTAAATTTGTTTAGTGCCTTAAAATACTTTTTTTACTATTCATTTACATTTTTTACTATCAGGTACATATTTGATTTAAGATTATTTTAGATTTTATCTTTCCAGTTGGTTAAATAATATTAAATTCTTCAGTAGAAAATTGAGCGAAAATAAATTTATTAGTTAAAAAATTAATTATTGCATGCTGGTATATAATATAATTTTAATAACTATTGTATTTTAATGCAGTTTCATCTTTGTTTATATCATTGTATAATTTTTTTTAATTTTATTTTGTTGAATAATTTTGGTCCCATTTTTGCATTTAATGTTGGCTTGTTTTCGGTGTTTTATTTTGTAGAATGATGGAGCCGATCCCAATGATGCTATTCGTAAAAAGGTAATTTATAATTAAAAAAAATGTTTTTACATACTGTTCAGTTGTAATTGCATTAATATCTTTTAAAATTATTGTTTACAATAGTACATAGTGTATTAAAATGTTAATTACAATATATAGTTCATATATTATTATTAAAAATTATTAAAAATTAACATTTATACTTATACATTTTCTTATTAATATTCATTTTTAATTAAAACTTTATAAGATATTAATTAATATAAATAATTGGTACTTAAATTGTTATCTTTTAGACATCATACTAATCAAAAAAATATAACTTAAAAATAGCTGCCTATAATTGAGTTTTGTAAAATACAAATTGTTAATTTTATAAATTTTAATTTAAAAAAATATTATTTTATTATAAATACTTCAACATGTTAAAATCTTATATTAAGTATATATTAATAGCCATATAGTGAATAGTATTGTATAATATTAAAATTTTAATTAACAAAATTAATATTTCTTTTTGAGACCAACATTTTTTAAAAATTTTAAAGTTCAACAAAAATGAAGTCTTCTAATAGATGTATGTTAAGTTTTAGGAATATTCTTGCTCAAAAAATAAACGCTATTTAATTGTATAATGAACAGATAATTATAAAAGATACTGTTAAATAATGCTTTAATCATTTTTTTTATTTAATGCTGTTCAATATTTTTTTTAAAAAAATAATTCATTTACAATAGTTATGAATAGATTAGTTTTTAAAAATAATTTGGTCATGGGCTATATATTAATATATTTTTAATCAATTAACTAACACAAATCCATAAATAATTTATTATTTGATTTTTAATTTAAATGCCAATGTCATTTGTTTAATGGTAGAATTATATGCATGATAAAAATGTATATGGCTTAAAATATACTATTTACCCTTTTCCTATTATGAGGTTGTAAAATTATGTGTTATTGATTTTCATATATTAAAATAACAAAAACTAATATTTGCATTTAAAGAAATGAGATACTCGTTTGTTTGTATTAAATAATATCCTATTCCAAAATTATTAATTTAAAAATAATTGCATCTAGGTTCTGTTGGTGATGAATAGAACTAATGATTGACTTTGAATTTGGTTATAATTTTTTTTTTCCCTAGGAGGATAGCGAAGATGATGTTGTAGTGAACCAACCATCTTCTACAAATAATACTACTGGAGGCACAGCACAGAATACTAATGTATTTGCAATGCCACCACCGAATTCAGCTAATGAAACAACTGCACTGAATCCAGATGGTACTCCGACAAAATATTCTGCAAGCAAATAAATAAAAATTATTAAAAAGCTATTAAAGCCCCAGACACAATCCTCATTTATTCTTAGAACTACCACTATCAATTATTTTCTTTTAGTGGAGTTTCATTATTGAGACTCACATAAATAACATTTTTCATACTCAATAGCCACATTTTAAAAACTTGTCAAATTAATCATAATATTTGTCACTGTGTGGTTGAATTTTTCTTGTGTGTTTCCTCCTATTATTGCTTTTACGTGTATTATTGGGTAGTTTAATTAAACTTATTTTATATTTACTATCAAAATATCTAGTAGGTAAGTGCCAGTTTTCTAAAAGAATCCAATAAACTATTTATAAATCATTTAATTGATATATGCTGTTATTTGTTATTAATGAAATTCATTGCATTAAAAATAACAGACTCTTTATTTATTATTTTTATAGACTGAGTTTCTGTCATATATAAAATATATATATTTCAATATTTCAAAAAAACAATTAATGCATAAACATTTATATAATGTTAAATAACTTTTCTAAACAGGAGAATTGGGTAAATATTCTGTTCTAGGTTTGACTAATATAAAACATTTAATGATTATTCATTAAATATTTCATATTAGTGATTATTATGTCTATTGTCATAAAAAGATCAAGTCATTCTATAATATTTTAGGTTTAATTTTTGTATATTAAGAAACAATTTTTTTGGCATGTGATTTGTTCTATTTTTATTTTAGCTGACAGTATGAAGTATAATAATATATAATTAAATTATAATCAATAATGTTATTTTTAGCTTAAAATAATACAATTATTCATTAATTAGTATTTGATACATAAATATTATCTATTCTGTGTTTCATATTTTGTTTATTGTTATTTGCTACTTGTTAAAGAAAAATTGTGTTCTGGAACTATATGTTCTAATTTTCTATTTTAACAATTTTTATTTCTCAACTTTTTTTAAAATTTATCAATATGTGAAGAAAAACTGTAGTGAGTAGTCAAGTTAATAATTTGATTAATTCTATGTAAACAATAAAATGATATTTATAGAAGAAAATACCTTGTATATTTTTTTTGTTATCATTATAATACCTAGATACCTTATGGCTTAATATAATACTTTATTTATTATATATTTTATTATATAATATTTGTATTCTAGTGAATTATTCATTTGTTGTTTTTAATATTTAAGTTAATTTAAACTTTTGAATCTCCTCCAGAAAAACTATTGTAAATAATAAAACAATGTTTGTTAAATATTATTTTTTAATTACCTCACATAAATTGTTCATATTCAATTTAATTAGCTTTATCGACATAGAAAGTATTATTATTATATTTTGTACTTTATATAACAGCTACCACCATTTCTAAACTTAATAATAATAATAATAATAATAATAATAATTTTATTCCCTATACTGTTTTCTAGTTATTTGTTTGATTTACTCTTTAATCCTGTTCACATATAAAATGATTAATTGATATTATGGTTGTAAGCAATTATTTTACGATTAGAAAATAATTTTTCTTAAACAAGTAGATCAAATTTCCTTATATAGTTTAGAAATATAAATTGTTTATTTATTATTATCTACTTAAAGATAAACATTGCAAGATAAATGTGATTTATATTATACTATTACTACTATTATTACTATTTCTTATAACACTATCTTTAGTATAAGGTCTAATAAATAAATAATAATAAAAAAAAAAAAAACAAATATTTTGCACTGAATTAATTACATCGTATCATTTTTGGTAATAAATGACAAAAACAAAATGTTTTATATAAATATTAAATGGATTGCAATTTAATTTATCTTATATTATTTATTAAATATACAAATTTGTTTTGTTTTATTATATGATAAAAATAATTTATGTTATTTTTAACATAAATTTTATTTACAGTAAGTGGCTGCAATCCTTGTTTGAGATCAATTTAATTTTTGAGATTTATTTCAGATTTAAATTATTCTAAAGCTAGTTTAAATTAAAAGTATTTTATTTACAATTTTTATATTGTAAACAATATTATATGTTACAATATAATATTTATATTGGGTTCATAACTATGCATAAAAGAACAGTCATCAAAATATTATATTCTTGTCATAGGATTTTACTTTAGGCATATGCTCACAATGTATTCATTAAAAAGATTGTTTTAAAACTGAAAAGAGCTATTTTTAATAAAATGTATCAAGTTTAATATAGCTGTTCATTAATAATGTTTAGGAATCAACTTCATATACTTTTACAATGTTAAATGAACCTTGAAAAAAATTTTAATTTATAATTTTAAAATGGTATTATTCTGGTTTGTTAAAAGTTAATTAAAAAATATTTTTATTTGATGATAATCAACTTTTTGTTGATTGGTATTGTTTATTGTTTAACTTATGTTGAATCTGTATGATATCAGCTTCAAATATTGATGATATATTGATTAATACACTTCAGTTCTAGTTCATGCTTCTCAAATTGCATTGATATTTAATTATTTTGAATCCTAATAGTGATTATTCTGATGGGTTTATTTATTTCTTAAAATTGTATCATCAGCGTCACATACTTCAACTAAATCAAATCTTTTAAAATGATGGAACCTTAATTTTTAAAAAAACTTCTAATTTAAATTTGAATGAACCCTCACCAGTACTTAGATCAGAATATTTTGGTTCAAACTGATATGTATGAAATTGAAGTTTATTTTTTAGGTAGCGAACTAGTCCTTCTCTGTGAGCATTTTTCTTGACGTGTTTATGAGGATTAGATTTGAGAGTTATGCCAACGGTAGCTTGCTACCAATAGGATATTCTATGTTGGACAGATCAACGAACTGAGGGTAGATTAAATGGTTTTGACAAAAGGTAGGGCGAGTTCTTTAGTCTTAGGTGGCAGCCTTCCTAGGAGAAAGAAAACCCTAATCAAAAAACATCTGAAATTTGGGTTAAAATTTATTTTTAATTGATCTTTTGAAGATTTCCAGAAAAATACAACCTTGTCAATGAGATTAGATTGGTGGTTTAATTTTTACTTTCTGGACAATTTCGATTGAACTAGTTGCTTGATACGTAAAATCGAAAAATTCTTCGTCATTTGGAGATAAAAATTCGAAGTGATTAATAGTAATGAAAAGTGGCTTATTTTTTATTTTTTTCATGGAGTTTGATATTTAATATTTGAACTCGAAGATGTCGAAATATTTTTTTAAATTTTATTATTTTTAATTTTACAGTTATTATTTGATACTCTGAGTAGTGACTTTGACCTTGCATGTATATACGTGATTATGAATTTTTTAATTTAAATCTGGTCGTACTTTACAAATATAGTAATACTCCAGGTTAAGTATTTATTTATTTTTATTTAAAAGAATGAGACGTAGGTAGTTTATAATAATATTTATCATTTTTTTACAACAACTAAATTTATTTCACCACATAAAAGCAGAATACAGAGAAGCACCTAAATTGCCGATGCAAAGCGCCGTCTTAGAATAACTTGAAATATCATTCATTTGAAACTTATTACTAATTCATTTTTGTAAAATTAATAATCATACTTCGCTTTTATGATGCATCATTATATAGATCCCATTAACATTTTACCAATCAAAAATGAATGATACATGCAAATCGATAAAGAATATTATTCAAATCATGATTCATGGTAGAATCTGAACTTTATAAATTTGTTTTACAAACTGATTATATATTACTTTACCATAAGGATATTGTATATTATTGCATAATATATTTTGATATTTCTAGTATTATTTCTAGTATTTTATTTATTTTTATTTTTGTTTTTAAATTTCAATACATATATTATGTAATATATATTGTGCACCGTCTTGAACATTCAACCTACACATACTCGTATAAACGGGTTCACATTTTTACTTTTTCAAAGTATTGTCACTGCATTGCAGTATTTTTAAAAACACATTTTTAATAATTTTTAAGTACGCTTTAAATAATTCATTTGAAATGTCTTTACTCGTTTCTATTTTCTGTTTAACTTATTAATGTTAAAAGTAATGCAATTGCTGAAGTAAATACAATTTTCAAAGAATTTTCTAATCTAAAATTGACATTGAATATAAATAAAAGTGCATTTGTTGCATTCTCTATATATAATATTAATGTACTGTTTGATGATATTATACATTTTTGTGACACTCAGGATATAAATTTAAATTAATGTAATTGCCAATAAATAGATTTACTAGAGTAAAATATGACATTTTATATTATTGTCGAGTACTTTTAATTTTCTGGCAAAATTATATTTAATAAACAAGAATGGATAGTTTAAACTGCAAAAAAAAAAAAAAAAACGAAAACTGCATATACATACTTATACATTATAATCGAGAAGCAGTTGGTTTCAAGCGATTTTAGTATATGGTGGTTTTACTTTCACAATGAATTTAATATCATATATATATATAACCAGCAATTAGAACAATGAGTAAGTAAAAGTTACAAAATTACACAAAAATTTAATATTTAAAAGGTTTTTTTTTTGTAATTATAACAATTTTAAGTTTAAAAGAACATCATATTGAATATAATTATAGTCTATATGCG